AATTTATATAGAGTTTAATTTACACAATTTATATATCAAATGATAATCTTTCTTACAATGAAAATAGAATTACAATTGTCATACAAAGACTAGAACATTCGTCATTAATCTTGCACTCCACAATTACTTATTGCTTTTGCTGACTAGATAGTAATTATAATATTTTTAGGATTTATGGCTTATAATTATTTTTCATGTGTCAATTAAAACTTAACTTTTTAACTTTATATTTAAAAATTGATACAGTTGATATGAATCACAATCTTCATATCACTGACAATCAATTTAAAGAATAAAACCTAAATATTAAAACAGATATTTGGAAATAAAAGTATTAGAATAAAATTTCATTTTTCATCCAGAAATATGGAAGGAAGTGAGTGTATTTTTTTTAAATAAAAAATAAATAAAACATCTAAATGGGGTGGTTCGTTTGTAGAATAATACATGTGAGTTGTGATTGGGTCCTACTCAACCCCGAAACAGAAAAAAATAAAACAAACAGATGATGGTGTGGCGGGAAATGATGAAGCCATTTTCATTTATTTCCTCGTATCTCTAACAAACCAATCCCTTTCGGAATTGATCAATTTTAGATTGTGTTTAAGTCGGGTCATTTTGAGTTGAATTACACTTGATCTATATTTGATTTAGGCCAGATTAAATGTAGTTTGAATTTAATTTGAGTCTATGAAAATTCAGTTCAATCGAGTCAACATTAGATCGATTTGGGCCAACCTTTAGGTTTTTGGGTAAAAATGGGTTAGTTTCGGTTTGGGCCAACTTTTAGATTTTGGTCGATTCGGGTTAACCTTTAGATTTTCGGGTCAATTTGGGTTGGTTTCGGTTCAAGTCAACATTTAGATTTTTAGGTCAATTCAGGTTGGTTTCAGTTCAAGTCAACTGTCACCACTCGTCGTCATAATCGTGGATGCTACTCTTTATTACTTGTAATTCAAGAATTTTATGTAACTGTATATTGTCTCATCCTTAATTCAAGACTACAATTTTTAATTTAAAACAATCAAATTAATAAATCTTTAAAATCTAAAATTTAAGATCAAATTGGATGAGAACTCTTTATTTGACACTTGTATTAAAAAATAATTATCTTTTAAAATTAACTATAATTAACCATCTAACTAATGTGAATTAAAGTTATCACATAAACTATAATTTTTGGTTTGTGCAATTTTATTTTATAATTTTTTATATTAAATAATGTTTTGAAATAATTTAGAAGTTATTAGATCAAATATAGAGTTGATCTTTTAACTGGAAAAAATTATATTAAACCATCAAACTATTACTAAACGTAGCGATTAACTAATAATATGATATAAAATGAGAATAATATATATATATATATATATATATATATTATTTTATTATTTATCAAATTACAAAAAATATATATTAATAATGAATAATAAACAAATAAACCATTCGTTCATATTCAATTATCAGAGTAAAATCGGGTTAAAGTTCAGTTCAAATCTGAAAAGGATAAATTAAATTCGGATTATTTTTTGTTCGAGTTGATTTTTGGTTCGGTTTGCTTTTGGGCAACTAAATTCTGGTCGATTTTAGTTCGATTCGGTTTATTTCAAATTTCGGACTAATTTAGGGTCATCATATTCAAGTGTATATAGAATCTCGGATCGGATAAATCAGTTCGAGTAACAGGACACAAGTCAATTTTACCAGTTCTGCTCCCCTTTACATTTATTTTTTTTTGACAAATTCTAAATATAATATTAATCATATTTAAAAGGAAGTGGAAAGAGGACTATAGAAAATGAAGGAAAACGTTTCTAGTAGGTCTAGAATCTATAACCTAAGGGAATTTAAGGAAATAAAGACGAGCAACTTGATCAATCGACCAAACATGTTCATTCTCTCATTTTAATTGTTCACTTTAATCAAATATGTTTTTCCTTTTTTTTATAAATTCATTTTTTAATGATACAGAATGATATGTTTTTCTTAAAAATTTTAAATTTGAGTAATTTAATCTATAAATACATGTAAATTTATTTATATTTAAAATTGAATAAAAATATACTATAATCATATTAATTTTTTTTTTTAAATTTTGGATTTAACCATATACTTTTATTATGTTATTAATCAATCTAAAGAGATAACATCATTAAGTATTAGTTAGATTATGTCACATATACGATTTGATTAGGCAAATATTTTTTCTTTAAAAATAAAATATTTATAAAAAATTGTTTAATGAACTATCATCACTGATAAAAGATTTTAATTTAAATATATTTATTTTTCGTTTAATTTTAAATATCTTTTTAAAAAATCATTGAGAAGTCTCAATAACAATTTTTTTTTAATTTTTAAACATATAAATTTTGTGTTTAATACTTATTTGATTGAAATTTTTCATATTTTGGATGTTATGTAAATGGCTACACGAGAGGTTGAAGAGTTGAGGTCAGACAAAATAAAAAACTTCATAAATATTTTTGGGTAAACTACATGTTTAGTATCTAAACTATTATTTTTGTTATGGTTTGGTGCTTAATTTTTTTTCAAAATCATACCTAATATTTAATTTAGGTTTTAATTTGCTACCTTACCGTTAAAAAGTTAATAGAAATACTGATGTGATATTTTTAAATTTTTAAAAAAGTTTACTGATGACGTGACATCATTTTATTGTGACACGTCAACACCACAGTTAAGTTACCAAGGGCGGGTATTAAGATGAAACAAACTCTAAACGTTATATATGATTTTGGAAAAAAAAATAAAATTTGATTAACAATATAGAATAAAAGTAATAGTTTAAGTACTAAACATGAAGTTTACCTAAAAAAGTTCTCATCTTCTTCTATGGCTTCATTGGCTGACAAGAAGAATCCTATTCTGATGATCATGCCATTAGAATTTAGAAGTTGCGTTATGATCGAAGCCTGGAAAAATATTTTAAAAAGGACGGTACTAAAGCTATCAATTTTTACCAATGTTTTCAAAATCGGATCGAACATTGAACCGATGAAGGTACTAATTCACTGGTTCACTGGTTTAACCGGGTTCAACCGCGGTTGAACCGGATTTTATATAAAATAATATTTTTTTTAATTTTACATAATATTCAAAACAATATTAATATATATGTAACACTTTTTTTAAGTTTACAACATTAAAAGGTATAAAAATATCACAAGTCATAACATGCATAAATGAAAAACCATAAAATCAAGTGAAACAAAATGATTCAAATCAACTACAACATAATATTTAAGGTAAAACATATTAATAATAAAATAATTATAACTATAATCAAAAAAAAAATTAGGGTTTAAAAAAACATAACAAATGATGTCATTTGGTTTAATGTTTTAAAAAAAAAATCCCACATGGCTAAGAAACATAGAAGAGTATCCAAAAGTTTAAAGAGTAAAAAATGAGAACCAAAATCACACATGGCTAAGAAACATAGAAGAGCATCCAAACTTACTTCTATAAATAATAGAGTAATTTGACATTCAAAATCATGGAGCCTTTTGGTGAGCACAAAGCGAACTATTCTTTCGCTTCAATTAAGCTCAAATTTTAGGCTTCAATTGAGCTCAAATTTTAGGCTTCAATCGAACTTCTAATTTTTTTTGAGTTCGAGCCTTTTCGATTTCAAGTTTTAATATTATATTTTGAGTTGATAATTTTTAGCTCGTGAGTTTTTGAGTCGAGTTGAGCTTACTTTTAAAGTTTTCGAGTTCGAGTCGAGCTCAACAATACTCGAATTTGACTCGGCTCGTTGAACAAACGACGTTGTTTGGTTTAATTTTTTTAAAGAAAAAAAGTGAACCGGCGGTTCAAACCGGTTTTACGATTTTTCAGCCGGTTCTTTCGGTTCTTTACCGGTTTTGCTAATCAATTTTAGGAGTTAACCGGATCAGACATACCACCGGTTCACGGTTCAACCGTCGAACGGCGGTCCAGTCCAACTTTAATAACATTGATTTTTACTAAACATATCAAGTCAAACAATAAAAAATTAGTCAAATATGTGAGAAATCCCACCACATTCATGAACACTATTTTTTATTTTAAATCTCATCCCTTGCTGTTTTTCATAACCGAATTTTTTCGGTAAATAAAAAAGAGTATATTATTTTTATATATTAAAATAATAAAAAAAATAGTCAAACATAAAATATATGACGAAAATATATAAAAATGTATATTATACAAATATATAAAATATTAATAACAAAATATATCTTCAACATTTTTATATATTTTGAGTTAAATTAGAAAAAATTATGAATTGAGAATATATATATTAAAATAATAAAAAATTAGTAGGATCTGATTTGTTTAAATTATTTAAATTTAAATTTAATTTTTTTACATATTAATTTTATTTTTCTTTGAATTTTCAAGTATCAAAAATATTTTTAATCGAACAAATTTGTAGCAGATCTGAGACTTTTGATTGAATAATCGTAATTTCCAATGACTGAAATGGTGTTTCATGCAAAAACATCAATCTCATTCCAACCGTGCGACACACGTTAACAAAACTCCCCCAACCGGACACAAGTTAGCATAACCCATTTGCCTATTTTTATTTGTTTGCCACCGATACACCATACACCTTTATTTAAAAAAATAAAAAAATTAATTAGTTTAATAATTTTCTTAGTATATTTAGACTCACCCTTTTAAAAAAAAACCACTTTTGTCTGTCTTTGTTCCCTTTCCCAACACAACCAAAACCATTCTTTTTTATCAGAACAACACATTAATTATTCAGACAACGGGAGAGAATCTATTCACTCTTTAATGTGGCTCGAACCCAAACCCTTAAAAATAATGTCAAATAACACAAACCCTATAAAAGTCTCACACAGATTCGATCAATGGAAGCATATTTTACAAAGGGTATCGAGTCCCCATGTGCAGATATTATTGGTTAATATACACTTGGATGCCAATATTTCTTTTCATATTTGTATCTACTTTTGGTCATCTTCAGAAAAATCATTTGCCTTTTGGTGATAAAATTAAAGTTTAGAATCTATGCAATAATTTGTGCCACTTCTTTCCCTCTCACAATCATTGTTTCATATTTGAAGAAAAAACTAGTAAAGTTGGGTAACAAAGTTCTGGGATTTGCTTCCACAACACAATTTCTCAACTCCTTAAATTTAACCCCTTTTTTCACTGCTTTCTCGTACAACATTGTGAAAATGAACTAATGTCCTCGTCTAATAATCCATTGGGAGACACAGACACCTCGGTTGTTTCACTTGAACTTGGTGAAGTAGGTTGAGGAGGAGGACCAAAGACAGAGCTGTCTTCCACTGCGAAATCAATACAACTAGCCACGCTGTCTGCACTTCTTGTCTGACTTTTGCTACAACCATGTCTTTTAGCTTTTCTCTTCCTTTGAATCACCTTGAAAACTAGCCATTCGCCCACGAACATCTGCAGAAAACCCATAGCCAAGATAAGCACAGCTCTTGTGAAAACTTTAATGGCTGGCTGCCGCTATGTTGCAGAAATTTGTTACCTGTGTTGGATAAAGGGTTTCTGCTGAGTCAACAAGGCGAAATTGATGCAAGAGCCACCGAGTCTTGGTCTCATTTGAACGCTTCTTTTCACAGAAAACCAAAGCTTTTCTCATCCCAATTAATTGATTGGTTCCAGAAGCTAAAATTGGTTTCTCTTTGCCTATGGGCTTCCAGTAACCACAACCAGCTACTCTCTTGCATTTGTTGTTACTGTCATTTCCATACCTCTTGCTAAAGAAATACTTGTTTTCTTTCACATCACCTGAAACCCATACAGTATTAACTACATATAAGTTTGATACTAAAAGCATTAACGTTGAGAATTAAAGGAATGGGCAAACTAACCAGGCAGGCTCCATGGATTTGTCAGCAGAACGTCGAACTCGGGAATGACAGAAGCAGGTAAAGGAAGATTCAGAGCTTTTCTCTTCAAGTAATGAACCACAAGCTCTTCATCCGTGGGATGAAACCTATAGCCAATGGGCATCTTCACCCCTCCATTAAAAACAAAGTTTTGACCTTCCATTATAGCTTAATCTTGTATGTTTTCACTTATATGAATCCAAAACTCGAGCTAGCTTAGCTGATTGAAATCAAGCAAAGAAACCCATGTACGGATAGAGAAAAGTAAACCCCCAAAACAAAGAAAAAGGCGACAAGAAACCAAAAAGGAAGACTTGAAGGGAGAAGGAAGACAAGAGAGGTTCATTTTATATATAGGAGAAATGGGTATTAGCCAAAGTGGAAACAGCTCTTCTTATTTGTTACTCGGAGAGGCCGGAACTCATTCATTGACTGTAATAAAACGAGTAAGCCCTCCACATTGCTTTATGTTGACGGGTCATTTCTTACACAAACGTGTAAGAAAACTTGTACCGTTTCATGGTCAATGACCTCTCCCCGCTCTTTTTCTGCAACGACCCCACTTTGGTGCCAGTTTTCACTTTTAAGTGGAGCCCTAAGTTCTCCATTTGCATGGTCCCACCCAACACATCATCCAAGGGGTCATAGCGTTTTTGTAATACTTTGATTTTTTGATGCATTCCATCCCAGCCGTCCATTTCAAATACATGATTAGTTTAAATAGTTCACCAAATCCTCAAAAGAGATGGTTGAAACTTTAGAAAAATGATGAGCTTTAGTCTGTAGTGGTTAACAGATTTCTTCCTTAATTCCCTCATCTTTGATTTATGTATTCAAAAGAGGGTAACAAAAAGGATATTTTTTAAAGAAAAGAATGATAATTGTGGATATCATCAATTAGAAGTGTCAAATGAAAACTATAAGATTGACTGAGGTTCCTTGTGGATGATGAAAGTGAAAACCTTAGAATTTACCCTAAAGTGAGAAGCGGGATCCTTTTGTATCCTAAATTCTAAGCCTTGAAGTTGATCATGAGATGAAGATTTTGTTGTTAGATTTTTATGTTTCTGGTTAGCCTCCAGCTTAATCATGCACATGGGATATGGCTGTTACTTGTTACTGTATTTTAATTGTAAGTTTTACTGGCTTAAAATGGAAGTTTTTGCCTAAGCTTTAAAGTTTTAGTCTTTACTCCCCAACTACTAGATTTACTTCATAATTTTGTTGGTCATGGAACATTAACTATCATTTATCTGTCGACTTTTCTATCCTTTTTTACAGCTTCTGTTCCCACTCAAATTTAACCGTTTCTCACAGCATAGTTCAAATAAAGGTCTTACAAGGAGAGTAAAAGTAAAATATTCCATAAAAATTTACTTACGCTCTAATTTATCTTCGTTTTCTACTGCAAGTTAGGTAAAAGATTGACTTTAAGGAATTACAAATATATGTCCATACTATGAACTATGAAACATAAAATCCAAGTAAATGTTGTATTCTTTTACTTGTTTGAGCGTTGATTTTATTGGTACAAGACGTTGAATTCAATTCAAAGTATTCAAAACTTGTGATAAATGTGAACGTAGAATCATTCACTAAAAGGGATTTATACTAATATTTTTACTGTTGGACATGAAATGCATAGGTCATATATTGTTTATTGGAAATGAATGAGAATCATGCAACCCAGGTGTCCAACTTAAAGAAGAATTCCAACCAAAAGCGACCGCCCCCATTTCAATATAATTAAAGAGTAGTCATCCTCATCAACACCACCATAAATGACAGAAACAATAGACACAACATAAATAAATAAAACACAAGAGGAGAAAAATCTATCCCGATTTCCATCCTTTCTTAATCGAAAGTCCCAGGTTTATTTCATTGATTACAACAAATGTTTTATTAAAATAAATAAATTTTAAAATTATATGTTATAATTTAAAATTTTATTTCAATTTAAATCTCACCACCATACACGATTCTGTTTGTATTTTATGACAATATGGGTGGAAGGGATGATGGGATAGAAGATGGGGGCCATTATCATGTGTGCCTGTATTCTGTTTACATTATCATTAATACATGGGTAAAGTACACGTTTAATACCTCAACTATCACTTTTGTTTCGTTTTTGTCACCCAACTATTTATTCTTAAAATCATATATTGTGTTACGTTTTGGTTTCATTTTAGTCATCCGTCGTTACAAAGATAACATAACTGCTTATGTAACTTTTAAAAAAAATCAAGGATGGCATGATATTACCTTATGGTGATAAATTAACATCACAATTAAATTTTTAACGGTGGGTGATCAAAATGAAATCAAAGTGTAACATTAGGTATGATTTTGAAACAAAAAATATTTGGGTGACAAAATGTGGGTGATCAAAATGAAATCAAAGTGTAACATTAGGTATGATTTTGAAACAAAAAATATTTGGGTGACAAAATATAACAAAAGTGATAGTTAGAGTACTAAATGTGTAATTTACCCTTAATACAATTATATTAATCTTGTTCACAGTTCCATTCCTCTTAAATTTGTCTTTGTTTAATTGTCACAGCTGTTTCATCATGGATTTTGTAAATGATCTCTTAGGGCTGTGGCTTCCCCACATATATCCTTACATTACCATGATTGATTGTCTTAATATTCAGATTGATGCATTCCACTCTTTCCTAATTAATTCTTTTGATTTTTCATTTCATATATACTCAGCCGCATTGCTTCTTCCACCTAATCTCTTGTCTTTTAGTTCATGTTCACATATAATTTTTTTTATTTGATTTAAAACATCTGTATATATCAATAATTGAAACTAGTTATATACAAGAAGTAAGAATGAATTGAAAGAGATGTTAAAACGGTCGTTTAAGTCCTTTTTTTTAATAATTAAAAAAAAGACTTAAAATTCTATTATTTTAACCCTATTGTAAGAGATGGATCGGAGGTCATTGACTTGAACCCTATGTTCATGTCTAACATAAAATTCTACGTCCATCGTTGTATACTACTGCATTGAAGCTTTTCTTTCGTCTTTGCATCTGTATCTTAGCTTATGCTTTTTATGTCTTGTTTGCTCACTTCTGATAATTGTTCGAATATGTTTCTGTAACTTTTGCTTTAAAGAAAACCTTATTTGTTGTCCTTTTGTATGATTCTCTCACTGACTCTAAAGCAATGGGCAGAAGCTAAGCCTAAGGTTCAAACACCAGGCAGTGGAAATGGCTGCATGAAGGAATTTTCAGAAAATAACAATTTTATCTACAAACATATAACTGGGTTACACCCCTAAAAGGTACAGAAGAGGGTGTAAGAAATGGGCAAAACAATGTGGTTGAAGGCAAGACTTAGTGCTGTTGTATCAACTATGGGATGAGCTTTAACAGAAAGGAGAGCTCTTTCTCTGAGAATTCAACCTTCCAATTTGCCTCGCTCTCCCCATTCCCTTCACTCAAACTCTCTGCTCCGATAATCGCTTCGTCCGGCTTAATCATGCTGTTCTCCGTCCGTGAGATCTCTTCAACAAAATAGACGATCACTCCATGGATTCCCATTAAATATTGCATGTAAACTGCCTCGGCACATTGCTGCAATTAAAAAGGCAATACTCAAACTCAGATACAAGCATTAAAAAGTGTCTTAGCTCTAAGCATGTTGCAAAATCTAGCAACTTACTTTAGCTTGCCATAAGTGAGGAGAGAGAGATTAGAGTCTTCGATCTTAGGCACTGTGCTAGGATCTTTAAACACTCCTTTGATCTCTGAAACAATCCCTTGTAAACCACCTTCCAAGCACACCTTCATGGCCTCCTCCAGCGAATTCCTCCAAACATCTAGTAAATTTCCGTCCCGCCTTCTGTTAAAAAGTAGAACTGTTGGATTTTCCCAACAAAATAAACATTAATAATCCAAAAACCAACCGAATCAAGAATTGAGAATGTAGGTTGGAGATCTTACAGGATAGCTGTTCTGCAACTTCCTAACAAGTTGGGCTGCATCAGGCTGAAAGGTAGAGAAGATAATTGGCCTATCTCTGGCAAACTCAAACACCACCTGCCATAAATTTCACAGCAATTATGAATGACAATCCTTTATTTATGAAGATATGTAAATTTCATCCTTTTAAGATATGTATGTTCACCTGTAAGATAACTTGGAGAGTTCGGGTGAGATGGTCTTGCTGATAAACTTTGTAGTCATCAAATTTCAACTCAATATTGAAACCTAAAGAAGGCTCCACTTTCAGGAAAGCTTCTTGCAATGTACAAAGTAAATCATCAGTTTCAACATTCCACTTCTCAAATTTTCCATCCTTTGTTTTCCTATATAAACATTTCCCTTCTTTCCCTGCTTCTTTCTGGGGTCCATAGCAAAGGAACTCTGCTAAACACAATTCTGTGACTCTTTTCTCGAAAATAGTTCCCTGGAATTCATAACAAGTTTCAAAGTTCAATCTTTGAAGAAAATATACATGAACAAAGATAGTATGTAAGAGAAATGAACATACATTCTCTTCAGAGAGGATAACGTCATCATGGAAAATGACAGGGCAGTCATCCTTTGTTACCTACAAAAAACCACAATGCCTTTCTTTACTTCTTCCTGTGATAAATCTTTTATTCCATTCGACAACAACAACAAAAAAACCACTCAATCAGTAATGTTTAACTTGGAAAAGAACAATTCAGATTTGACACAACGAGGGATTCATGTGTTTCACATAATAAGATTTCGATTCTTTCAATGACAACAACAAATTGGGGGTTCCCAGAAAAAAAATTATAAGAATTTGAATGGTTACCTGAACATTAAATTCAATGAAGTCAAGGGGAAATTTGGCAGCAGAGTTGAAGGAGAGAAGAGAGTTCTCTTTAATGGCTTTCATTCTTGAATCAGAGCTTTGCAAAATGTTCATGCCATGCCCTCTATGTCCTATAAGCAAAAAGTTTGGCATCCTACACGATGCTGCTCTGTTCAACTCCACCCCTACACCCAACCAACACACAATAAAATAAGGCCCCTCCATCATACGGTTCACAAAATATTCATCAACATGAAAAACAAAGAACAACCCAGATTATAATCATAAACAAGAAACAATAAACAAATAAAAAAATGTAATTTTAGATTAAAACGTACCATTGAAAAACCGGCTCGAGTAGAGGGAAAGGGAAGCTTTTTTCCGGGACTTGGTCAAGGTTCGGCACATCGGAGACATGAAAAGTTTTAAGAGCAGCCATTGTTTTATTTAAAAAAAAGAAAAAACTAAAAAGGCTCTAAAAAGCGAATTCTTATAATCAAGGCGAAGATTTAGAGAACAAGTGTTGTATTTAAGGAGGGAGAGAGGGAATATTCAAAGATTCCCTCCAATTTTTGTATGGTTTTTTGACGTGTTCTCTGTCATAAATTTCACGGCTCATTACGTTTGTAACTTTTTTTCTTAAAAAACGGTTAATTCATCTACTATTCCCGGATGCGTGGGGGAGTGTCGGTGGATATTTGGATATCCACTTGCTAATTGAAGAGACGTGGAAGGCACTAATTGGATAAGATAATGGTGATAAATAGTATAAAAATATTAAATATGGCTAATATTAGCTAGGAACTTATAACTAATGTAAGGAAACGTAGTTGGATAGATAGGATAAAACGTGGGTGCACCTTCCCAATTGGCTCAATGATGTGTTTCCTCGGGAACACAGTGTTGTATGTCGATTAAGATTAGAAGGATTTGAGTTTATACTTTGTTTTTCTGTCTTCAATTCCTTTCCCTTTCAGATATGGAATTTGGTCTGTGTTGGATTTCCGCATTGAACAATCATAATATGTATATATATATATATATATACATATATGGCATTATTGTGGGTAGGCTCTGCAATCAATTTATGTCCTATGTGATGTATAGCTAGAAAGGGAGAAAAATACACGTATTGTCACTGGTGCACCATATATACATAAAAGTTGCTTTCTTTTCGTGGTTGCCATTGGGCAATACAAGTGGATAAATAGTATCGGGATGAGATAAAGAATTAACAATCTGACTCTGCAACCACAGTTTCTGGGATGGGACCTTGAAAACAATTTTGTTCGTATAGACAGAACTGGCAATGACTACCTATCGATTTCTTTGTGGTACCACCACCATTATGCCATTATTACAGGAACTGTTGCTCTTATGAATCCACCAACTCCAGATGTTAAGGCTTTCATGTCGCCTCTTTCCTGGTTATTTAGAACAGTTTGAACCCACAAATTCAGAAGAAACGAATTAAAAATGTGAACTTAGCTGCAATATAAACTTAGCAGCAGATGTTTTCATCACCTAAACTTACTCTATGAAATATGTTCATGGACAAGCAACTATTGTATTCACAAATCCAGAGACTCAGATCCTCAAAGGAAACAAATGTAGATGATGCCATAACTATCGTACTTTTTGTGCATGTTTTGCGAGTTTACCCCATATGACACAAACCAATCCCCAGGGTCAATACAAACTTAGAAACTAACTAATTCCACAAATACAACAATCAAAGCTCACTCTTACACAACCAACACACCAGTTCTTCCTTCGAGGAACCAACACACACATGCACACTTTCAAACACCTCACCAAAAAACCAACGATCAAAGGAGGAAGTTAAGCAACCTTAGCGATGATTTTCATATTTTTCTACTCTCAATATTGCATCATTGGTCATGTCTGGGTCTTCTCGGTTGCCAAGTTGCTGCTGCTACTCCCAACTGCTCGATTTGAGTCCCCAACTCTAGCTGCCAAAGCAACAACTTCCGGTGACATTTCCCAGCTCCCACTTTTTCTACCCCAACTCGACCGCCTGGCACGGTCACTTGTGTCATCTACCGTACTTCTAATTTCTGGGGTCAATTCTCCTAACTCATCCTCCTTAACATTTACACGGTCGCTCGTGACTTGCCCTTCACACTGGTCGATGCCAGCCCCCACATCACCCCACACAGCTTTCCTACCCATTTCTATGTCATCCACGGCATTCCCCATATTTGGACTCATAAAACCACCTGGTCGGGTTGGTAGCACAGGTTCCCTGGGTACCTTAGCCCTGAAGCTGTTCTTGGATGAGGGAATGCTAGAACAAAATATTTCTTTGAAATTCCCGACCACTCCTTTATTATAGGGGTTTTCTCTACGATCATATCGATATCTGAAATTCTCATAAGTTGTCTGCAGAAACAAGATACCCCGACTGTTACACCATTCTAACAAAGAAACTAATGTAACGATTTTTAATGGACTCTTTGTTGCGGCATAATTATGTAAGAGAAGACAAGTATCTTACCTGATTTGTACTGATTAGATACAAATGGAAGGCAGTCAAACCACCAACAAACCACATCGCAATGAACGTGTAAACTATTAAAACAATGGAAGCTGGGGTTTTAATCATGGCTCTCCAAATTGTTGTATCCTCTGATGCCATGATCCTTCTAATGTACACCCAACAGAATGCAAAAACATATATACAAAGAAGGGTTGTAGACGACACAAACATGAAGAAGAATTGATAATTTCTCTGCAAAACAAAAGTAAGATTACTCTGAGATTCGTACACAGTACGAGGAAGATGAAATCAGAAAACATCACACTCAAGCAGTTTTAACAACTATAAGTTGAAAATTTTGGCAACCAAAAACATGCAAAGCTAAGCAAGGTTCCTCCATGGCTTTAAGACCTTGGTTTAGGGTTTCTAGTGTTGCAGATTAGCTGAAATCAAAATAACTACAATGAGTAAGTTTCGATAGCAGGAAACCCCTCCAAACAAGTTTCTCCAATATAGATACAAGCATGTCGAACTTTTTCCACTTTTAGCTTTTGCTCTAAAAATATGACCTCCATTAAAAGAACTATAAAAACATTGTCATTGTCCTCTTCAGTGCTAATTGTGTTATCCAAACGCCAAATCGTACGACTAAAAATCAGTAAACACAACTTTGGATAATGCGGTATAGATAAGTAGAATGCAAACACAAAAGGGAGGCTTCTTATTTTCATATTTTCCATTACTTACAGATGATATGAGAGCATATGTTCTTTGGATGTTAAAGAATAGGACATTATAAAGAAATGATTACATACCAGTCCAATACATTGCCCAACCCAAGGGCAGTGGTGATCAAATCGTTCTACACAGTTATTGCAGATAGAACAGTGTGAGCAGCGGGGAGGCCTATAAAGCATGCAAGTGTCACAATACTTGATCTTCACAACGATTCCATTGACCTCCACTTCTTTAATGCGTGGCAATCGTAACTGTGGAGTTTGACCTCGACCGGCATCTACATTCCCATAAGAACCTTCTGGCTCTGGAGCGTGTGCATTGCGCGGAATTATACCAGGATCTCTTCCAGATGCTAGTAGTAGAAGAACTAAATCCTGAAAGAAGACAACACATTTATTACGTTCAAAATCCGTTGCTTCCCCAAAACTCAAACAAATGCAGTGTAAATGACAATGAACAGCCAGAAAGTCAGGCCAACTGACACTCCAGGCTATTCCGAATGGTATTTGCTCCAATAATCAAGGCGGTCAAACACACTACTGGTAATAAGCAAAGAGACACCAATTAAGCATTTACTTTACATGGTAGAATTCCACGGCGCTCTTGTATCATTAATAAAACCAAACCTGATCCATACTGCTATCCCACTGTTTATACTATACTAAACTACCATTAGAATATGCGAATGGAGGCAAGGAGACGATATAAATTATGATCACATAAAACTTACAAATTCGAGTCAATATGTCTAACCGATAAGGAACAAAATGAGGACTATAAATCATCACCAGGCAAAATAACGTCATGATTTAACACCAAATGGGAAAAGGAAATAACACCTCTCCTAGAAACCCCAAGTGAGTGGGACCATATTAACCATCATCGTCCTAACAAATAACAAATTTTTCCAAATATAGCAACCCATTCAAACATGAAATTGTAAAGAGACTTACATAGAGAGTGAAGACAATAGCAACAGCCATGATTGAAATACCCAAGTGATTATAGAATTCATCCATCAATTTCGTGGCAACAAACGCACAGAAAATGGACACTGGAGCTACTATAAGTAAAATAGTCAGCCCTAATGATCTTAAATCTGGTCCAAATATAAACCTCCCTTGAAATAAAAATACCTATAAACATTGAAAAAGAAATAAAAATTAAATATGATGACTTGCAGAAGTTCATGGACAAAAATGTTTCTTTTTAGTCCCTAATTGTAATTGAAATTACAGTATAAGCATAAATAAATTAGGGAAATGAAGGATTTTGAAAGAAATGTGATTCTAAACATCCCACAGTAGGATATAATAGTAAAAGCTGGGGGAGCTTACATTGCTGCCCTTCCAAGTTTGGTAAACCCGTAAATCACTCGACCCGCCGGCTGTCGAAGCCGGATCCGATCCATGGGGTGGCGGTACCACGTACATCTTTTTATCGTTTACTCTCAGGAGAAAAAAAGTAAAAAATAAAAATAAAAATATAGGAAAAAGAAAGGAGCTTTGAAGAAACAAGGAAGGAGCTTTCAAGTTGAGCAAAGAAAGGCCATGGGAGGACTGAGTCAGGGCCGGGTGAGTTGAAAGAGTTATGGCCGAGTCAGCGACAAGGCACGAGCTTTTTGGGAACAAAGTCCAGGGCACGTTGTCTGCTTCTTCTTTTAGAGTTGGGAGATTCTTGATTGATTGATGGCTGTGTATCCGAGCTTTACAGTGAGGATCTGATGATGTTGGCAATGGCTGAGTTGGACCGGTTGTGGTGGGTGAACCAAAATTATCAACCTACGCTGCCGAACCCAGATGTGGGCCTATTCCGTTCTGCCCTTTTAACATTTCTTTAGTGTATATTTGTTTCACTGTGATTTTTAATGTAAAATAAATTATATTTTTTAAAAATTAGTATTTAAAAATTATTTTATGATATTTATTTAATATTATATAAATTATTTTTTATTGGTAATTTTTTAAAAATTATTAATTATATTTATTAAATATAATAATTAATATTATTTATTATAAAAAATATTATTAATTTTAAAATATTATAATAATTCCACCTTCTAATTAGAGAAAGAATATTAAATTTAAGAAAAAAAACCTTTATGTTTACGATGACACATATCATGTTTTGATTGGAGAATTAAATTTATTAAATTAAGTTAAAATTAAGACTAAAGTGATAAAATATGTAAGTATTGAAGATTAAATGTGTAATTATACTAATTTTATTAACTGATGCATCAATATTTTTCTTTAAATATTGACAACCGATGATTTGATTAATAGCATTTAAATAATTAAGTAATTTAATTGAAAAAATTAAAATATCGATAATCAAAATAAAAAAATAGATAAATAATAATACGTGTAATATTATACTTCATGTATGAATTTCATACATGCAACAACCATGACCATGATTGCAATTGGTTTGCACCATTACCTCATCTTAGAATTCATGGGGATGGAACTGCAATGATTACAACAATGAACCTTGGCATTGCCTTTCTCAAAAATATGAATATTTTAGAATATAATCATTAAAAAACGTAATAGAAACAATTAACATCGATTATGGAAATACAATTAACAGGTTTCGGGGGAATTAATAAAATAAAATCCATATTTTGATAGAAAAAGAAAGAAACGTTGGTGGATCAAGAACCAAGATCTTCTCGCTAACTGAAAAAATAATAATGCATTGAAGGTGACAGAGAATTGCAGGTTCATCTTATTATACGTAAATAAAAGTTTTCACAACATTTTTCCTAGAACTACAATACGATCCAAGCTGATTTTTATCTATTGTTCCATTGTCTGAGAGTCGAACACCGTATAGCTCCATCCGATTAATGTCGCGTGGAATGGGCGATTGCCAAAGTCCCTCCCACCATGCCGGAGGCAGAAGTGGTGTGAAAGCACACTGATTCGATTGCCCCCGACAACTCAATGGCCCGGCAAATCGATTCCATACATGCCCCCACCCCACCTGAAGATTCAATCCTTCTGTCAATAGATTACCATGGAAGCTGCTTAGGAAAGAAAAACTTGAAGCCGTCGAATTCTCCCCTGAACATTACAATCAAGGAGCTATAAGATACTGCATCGTCAATGAGTGGAAAAAACCATCCAGCAAATTAAGCTGTTAAAAGCAATAAGCCAGGAATGAACGCAAGGAGCATCGTTACCTATACTGTTTGCTGCAGCTAGTGCAGCAATTAACTGGGCGTATGTAGTTCCAACACGCCTGTGAGCCCCGGAAACAACTGCGTGCTTTGCACGAGATGCAAGAAAGAAATCCACAAAAGCAACCCATCTGGGTGCCGGCCCCCAATCTTTCACTCTGAAGTCCATATTTGTTGACGCCTTGATATTATATGACACATTACCTCTGAAAAGTTCATAATCGAAAATAAGAACCTGAGAAGAAACTGCAACTAGATCAGTATACCTTGTTATTCGTTCATGAAGGTTCTCTATCGTTTATGATAGAATTTCATTTGGGAGATGAGGCCTAGAATTCTAAGCTTATTTAATACCTCAGAAAATTCACTTATATTTGGTATGATGCTTTTAACGAAAGATGGGGTATCAGATACTACAACCACCCTGGGTCTTGACCCCGACTGTAAGCTGCTTTTTTGAGGCAGTTCAATGCAGCCTGTGCAACTCTTATAGATCTGAAACACAGAAGACAAGAACCAGTACCGCTAATCAGTTTATATACCCTCCAGATGCTTATTTATAATCTTCAAGATCGTCAAGTATGATTCTAAAGAAAAAGCCATTTAGATAATATTGACTCAATTTATGTAAGAATTTTCAATTTTATCCTTTTAATAATTTTCATTACTCTGAAAAAGATTGCCAGTATACCTATTCATAAGCATACGCATGTGCAATGTAATATCAGGGTCCCTACCATCACCAAGAACCCAATTGACTGCTTCCTCAACATCTCTTGAAGGGGAAATGAGAATTCTCATCAGTTCACCAAATACATTAGGGTGCCATTGAAGGGATTCTGGTTTTCCAAATAACTCAGATGCAGCGTCCCTCATTTCAGGATGCACGTTCTTCAAGAAAAATTGAGCTCCCACAGCATCCGTGGTACCTTGATACCTGAAATATTATAGCGGTTAATTTTGCAACAATAATCACAAAATCTACAAGTTATATCAGTATAGTTCACACTCTACCATATAATAGGTTGCTGCCACTTCCTCCAATTGCTACATAGAGCATTTGTTTTTGCTGGCTTCTCAAAATCATCAATCCTCATTACCAGATGCCTTCCATAATTTTGTACACAGCCATTTTGTCTCCATAGCTGTTTCACTTCTCTCAAGGTAAAGGTGATATTGGAATACAAAATGTAATCCCCAAAAGGATACTTACCCCTAAAAATAGAAAGGTAAAAGTATAAGTGAATGCAAGAAAAGCATGAACCTAGCCGCAATGGCACATTCACAAAGACACTACCATGCGCTCGTAGTTAGTATATACATCATGGGGAAAATGCAAACAAACTGGATTTGGTTTCTAACCCATCCATACGGCATGAATTTTATATTAGGGTGTCCCTAAAAGAGTAGTTATACCAGTAAGAACATTTAAACACAAAACAGAAAGGATTGAGAAAGAACCAATATGCCTGGTTTGCCCAATGATCAGCGACCGGTTCAACATTATACTTAATGATGCACCAGTTAACATCTTATACATTTCATTCCCAAAACCGGCTTCAGATGATTTCCCCAGCACAAATCCATGTTTACAGAACTGCTCTGGAGGAAGCTCACGAATTCTTGGAGCACCTGAAAAAGGAAAATTTAAATGAGTTTTTTGGTCGTATTTTCTGTCAAAACGGACCCAAGATTTCCTAATGTCGACGTCTTTCAAAGGATTAATCTTATATATGACTTTTATCTAATGCCCTTCGTCACTTTGTTCCTCATTAATTGAAAAGTTCCACATCAAAATTTCATTAAAAAGGAAGAACCTTCATGGACATTAGTACAGTTTCAATTGGCCAGATGAAAAATTTTAAACGCCAGGAGATGAAGTTCGATTTTTGTTTATTTCAACTTTAAATTATTCTAATTTCAAAAAGAAACATTATTTCTCTAAGAACAAAGGGAAAAAAGGCAACTTATTTAATTTAACAATGGAAATCGAGGTATATATAAGTACGAATTATAAAGACACCGAAAACTAATAATAATTACCGTTTATAGAAAAGTGACGTTGAATAATCCTTCGAACTCTAAGACTCTCCTCCAAAATCCCCCCTTTAAACCCGTTCCCCATTTCCTCCACCGTAGCGCAATTCTTCGGTGGAGATTTCATCGGCCCCGCCGCAGAAGATAAAATGCCATCCCTAATCTCCCTCAGCCCCGGCTGGGCAGACAAATCCAGCATTACTCCATTCGCCGTTGTAGTCGATTGCGGTTCATCGACGGATCCTAGATTCAGCAGCAGCCAGCTTATGAAAGTAAAGGCAGCGCAGAGAATCAAAAACCACCGCACGAAAGCGCGCTTCCTCCTTGAAACGCCATATCTCATCTTCCTTGTTTTTCCCCAAGATCGGAAATTTGATTTGATTTTGGAGTTTCAAGTGCAGAGTGGAGTTTCGTTAACGGATTTTATTTTATTTTTTAAATTAAGATTTATTTCTGATTACAAAGATTGCGTCGTGGCCACCAGCCAAGTTTTTCTAAAATTAATATATGCATAAACTACATAAATGGTCACTCATTTTTGAATAAGTTTCTCTTTTTCCCAATGATATTTCAAAATTAACGATTTAATCACTAACATTATCAATTCAAAAAAAAAAAAAACTGTCATTCGACGTTAATAGCCGTTATTGTGAGTGACATAATATTGATATAATGCGTTACCGACTGACTTGGTAACTATGATGCCACACAAGATTATCCTTTGACCCATTTATATTAAGTCGGGTGACCTCATTTTCTAGAAATCCAACAACTCCAGAAATCTTAAGTTCCATTGTTCCAATAATATTTCAGGATTTTCTAGAGTGTTTTATGTTGAATAGCTAGATAATAAAATTTAAGATTTTTGGAGTGATTGTGTAACAGCCTCAATACCGGGTTAGTGACTAAATTGTAAAACTTCAGAATTTGGTGACTAAAGCAGAATAATTGAATAGTATTGTAATTTGGTATAGGGTTATTTTGCAAGGAAGAAGGAATAGAAGGACAAAATGGTCGTTTGCAAGGAAAATAATTAATTTGGTTAGATATATATGGAGGCCACGTGTATGAGAGGAAGCAAATATCCAAGCTTCCAGACAACTCTTCTTCCTTTCTTCTTTGTGCGTATGAGCCAAGGTAAAGATAAGAATTCTTATGTGTTGTTTATTAGTTGTGATTTAAGTTTGGTTTTGCTCCTTAGATGCTAATTAAGTTAAGGAAAGCTTAATTTGCTTCAAAACAGCAAGATGAAGGGAGTAGGAAGAATTAAAGATTTGGAGTTCTTGAATGAAATTTCGAAATAAAGTTCATAATGAGAATTGGAAGTTGAATTTGACTTGTCACCAATTTGATTAAGGGATATGAAGGGTTAGAATCAGATTTAGAACATGTGGGAATTTGAGTGAGATTCTTAAATTCTATGTGGAGGAATGAATTTTGAAGTTTAAGAGATATTGAATGGGTATTAATTAGTTTAAATAGGTGTATAAGAGTTAAGAGTATAAAAAGGGTGAAATATGAAGAGTTGAGAGGATTAGGAAGGGATTTTCGTGATCAAAGTATCATTTCTGGGCTGTGTGCATCGATGCACATTCAA